CGATCTACCCGCGCCCGCCGCCGGCCCGGGGTCCGAACGCGCTGCCTCCGATCGTTGCCACCCGGGGAAGCGCGCGCAGCGCCGGCCGCACTAAGCGCTGTGTGGGCGCCGCTCCTCCGGTCCTCACAACAAAAAGTTGTGGACAGCTGCCACTCCGCTCCCAGAAGGGGAAACTGAGTCAGAAAGGGCGACAGCCAGGCGCGGTGGCGGGCGCCTGTAACCCCAGCACTTTGGAAGGCCGACGTGGGCGGATCACTTGAGCCCAGGAGTTCGAGACCAGCCTGACCAACAGAGGGAGACCCCCGTCTCTACAAAATAAAAAATTAGCCGGAGTTGGCGACGCAAGACTGTGGCCCCCGCTACTCGGGAGGCTGAGGTGGGAGGATCAATTGAGCCCGGGAGGTGGAGGCTGCAGTGAGCCGAGATTTCACCACTGCACTCCAGCCTGGGTGACAGAGCAAGACCCAGTCTCAATAAAAGGAAAAAAGAGCGGCCTCATTGCCACTGTGGAGAGCTGGGACCTTAAGAGAGGAGCCCTCCCCCCAACCACCCGCTGCAAGTTCCGCCCTCCCTGGGCCTCGGTTTCTCCCTCTGTGAAACCGGGGTGCAAAGTCGGAGACGGCTCCAAGCAGCTGCTGTAGCTGCAAACGGCTGCACAGCGCACCCCCCAAGACCACCGCCCTGAACTCCCCAGGAGGGACAGGAAGCACCTGGCTCTCCCTTAGGGTGGGGCGCTTGATTTCGGATCCAGACCCAGCCACGCCTTCCTGCAAAGGCCGCTTATGTGCGCCTGGCCGACCCAGACACCCGGGGCGGGACCTTCCATCCCAGCGCCCACTCAGGCAGAAAACCAGGATACCAACAGCGAGTAAGGGAGGGCGGGCGCAACTCTGGACCGGGCAGTTGGGAAAGGTTTAAGGTCGGGTCCCTCCAAGCTGCTGCGTGGCTGGGGGCACACAGGGAGGCCAGCTCTGGTCGGGCCAGGGACAGACGACTTGGGCACAGGTTTCGGGACTGAGGTGGGAGCTGGGGCCACGTTTCTATTTCTGGGCTTGGAAGGCCTGGCCCAGGCGGGGCCCATCCATGGGGGAACCTGCAGCCATTCAAACCGCAGGAGCGGCTCCCACACAGGTTCGATGGAGCCCTCTGCAAGCTGGACCAGCACTTTCTGCTCTGAAAGGCGCCAACATGCGCAGGACACCTCCAATGGTATAGAAGGAATCGCCAAGGTCAGCCTCAGCCAGGGAGTTCCAGCCCTCAGGTTCTATTTGAACTGCTTAACCAAATATACGTATTCCCTTTAGCAACAAGTGGCCCCCAAAGTCCTGCTGTTTCCTGCCATGAAAACAGCATGCACTTGTGCACTTCCAGATGTACCGCGTGCCGCAAGCCATAGGGCCCTGAAGCCTGTACTCTCAGGACTTGGACAGGTCACCACTTGTCTCACTGACGAGCAAACAGACGTGTTGCTGGCGTGGCTGGTCTGTGGCAGAGCTGGGCTGAGCCGGCAGGCTGGCTGCAGGGCTCATGGCTCAGCAGGGACACTCCTCCAGGAAGGTGGTGGGCCACTCCTGAGATGGGGATGGGGCTGTTCCATGTGAGATGCGTGGAGCACTCAGGGAGATGTCAGGATTAGAGTCAGGCCCAGGGTGTTGGCCTGGGCAAAGCCAGCCAGGAGGGGCCGTGAGGATAGGCCATGAAGGGGCCCTGTGCCGAGGTCATTTCTGTCTATCAGGAGTCTGGATGGCGAGGCCCACAGAGAGGGAACGGGCAGCCAGACAGGAGGAGAGAGGACAGACTCAGGCACAACCCTAGCTCAGCCCCTTCCTGCATGCCTGGCCCTGGGAGGGATGCCATCCCCGGGCCCTGCTCTGGGGTCCCTGCATAGATGGGGCCAGTGTATCCTCAGCCTCGAGAAGCTGTGCTGCCATCGGCTCCTTCTCCGGGTATAGAGCACGGGGGCCCGGGGTCTGGGGAGTTGGATCAGGAAGAAGGAATTGAGGGGCAGCAACTGGCCAGCTCCAATTGGGCTACAGCCACAGTCTCAATGTGGCCAGCTTCTCTCTTGGGACCTCACCACTCCAATCACAGGAGAAGCCATCTTCCTCCCACAAACAAGGCTTCCAACCCCACTTTCCAACCTCAGTCCCGAGGCTGCCTTCAGCACTGACTGTCCTGGAACAGGTAGAGATCCTGGCCTGGGTCAACGGGGTCGAAAACCCAGCCTCGAGCCCTGCCCCACAGCCCTGCGCCCCAGTATGGGAGTGAAACTAGACCCTGAGAACCGGGGGCAGGTCTGTGTTTTGTTTAGAAAAGAGAGTAGCTCTGATATGAAAGATGTAACAAGGTTAGAAGTCTAGAAGGAAGCAGATGGGAATAGATTATCTGGAGAAAGGCATTCACGGGAGAGCACGCTGATATTAAATATCAGGCTTCCAGGCCAAATATACATAATCCACTTAGGGACTTGATGGTGGTGGTCAGAGGCACATTTATCCAGAGCTTATGGTTCAGCAACCAACACTGTAACTGTGTCTGTCATCGTTTTGCAGCGGTGGGGGTGTGGGGGTGTGGGGGGGTCATCATCATGGGAAGGTGCTGGAGACCCCAACCATTACCAGGGAGTGCAGGGCACATAGGGTCCTCTCAGCCATGCTGCCCCAGCCACCCCGGGACACCAGATCACCCTGGGAACTGCCCTGGGGGGCACCCAGCCTCCAATTGGCCATGGTTAGCTGAGTGCCGGGGCCGGGAGACCACAAGACTGCTTCCTTAAGGCTGCCACTCTGTGGGGCACATATCCTTGAATTGGGCCGTGTGGCCCAGTGACCATGATGCCGGCAGGTCCAAGGACAGGGGTAGGGGGCAGCAGGCAAAGCCTGGAGAGGGGCGTCCCACAGGACAGAGGTGGGTGGTGGGGGCAGCAGGAAGGCCTGGAGAGGGGCGTCCCACAGGGCAGGAAGGTTTGAGGGTGGGCGCCCACAGGACAGGGGTGGGTGGTGGGGGCAGCAGGGTTGCCTGAGAGGGCGCTCACAGGACAGGGGTGGGGTGGGTGTGTGGGCAGGAAGGCCTGGAGAGGGGCGTCCCACAGTGGACAGGGGTGGGTGGTGGGGGCAGCAGGAAGGCCTGAGAGGGGCGCCCTGCGACAGGGGTGGGTGGTGGGGGCAGCAGAAAGGCCTGGAGAGGGGCGTCCCACAGGATGAACACTCAGACACGCCCAGCAGGCTCTGGCCTAGGGGGTTGGGCCTAGGCCTGCGCCTGCTATTGCAGGCCACGGCCATGCTAGCAGTGTGGCTTTGCCATGGAATGACTCTGTGGTTCTGCCTGCCACAGAGGTGTGTGCTCTCTGAGCAGGGCTGTGGTGCATAGGTGAGGGGTAGGCCAGGCTCCCCAGGCCCGAGGGCGGTTTCATGGGGAGCCCAGAAAACCCTGCATTCACCATCTCCATCCAGAATGTCGGGAGAAAAGCAAAAGCCAGAACCACCTATAGAGATGCTCAGAGGCCTGGAAATGCAAATCCCGGTGAATTTCAGCTCCTGGGGAAAGGGCAGAAGGCGCCGGAACTTCGCGGAAACGCAGAACCAGGGAAAGCCTCTGAGCAGAGAGGATCCCAGGGGCTGGGGGAAGAGCCCAGGGATGCTGTGCCGAGCCAGGGATGGCAGCGCCTTCCCGAACCCTGAGGCCACAACCGGCCCTGCAGGCTGGTACGCAGGCACGAGTGCCCTCGGGGAGAAAGGTGGGGCCACCTGCAGGCCCCAAACCCCCACCCATCCTGATCCTCAGATGGGGCTGTCCCAGGTTATCCAGGTGAACCTAAATCTGAGGACTGGCATCATTTTGAGGAGAGGAGACACAAAAACACACACAGAGGAGGGGCCACGTGAGGACAGACAGGGGCAGAGACAGGAGCAATGCGGCCACCAGCCAGGGATGCTGGGGTCACCAGGAGTGGGAAGAGGCAGGAAGGATCCTCCTCTGGGGCCTCTGGAGGGAGTGTGAAACTGACACCATGATGCTGGACTTGTGGGTGTGGCCCCCACGCTCACGCTCTGGTGGGGCGGCTACCGTGGCCCCCATGCTCACGATGGGGTGGGGCGGCTATCGTGGCCCCCACGCTCACGCTTGGGTGGGGTGGCTACCGTGGCCCCCATGCTCACGCTCGGGTGGGGCGGCTACCGTGAAGGCCACGGGACACCACGGCCCGGGGCTGCCTGCCGGGGAAAACTGTGACCCCCTCCGGAGATACACCACGGCTGCATTCCCAACCGAGCAGAGCTGTGCACAGCGCAGGTTTAACATTTGTTAAATATTAAATCACAGGAAACGCGTACCTCCCCCAAACGCATCGAATTCGGCCATCCCCACAGCCGCCCAGGCCGGCGCGACTCCATTTTACAGGCAAGGAAACCAGGGCTCAGAAGGTCTGCGGTGAAGGTCGTCCCCAGCAGGGGGCAGGATGGGGCCAAAGGCCACACACGCTTGTCTTCAGAATGTTTGGTTTCCGGTTTCGAGATATAGTTCCAACTGCACATTTTATTTTTCAATTTTTTGGAGACAGAGTCTCACTTTGCCACCCAGGCTGGAGTGCAATGGCACGCTCTCAGCTCACTGCAGCCTTGACCTCCCGGGTTAGGTGACCCTCCCTCCTCAGCCTCCCGAGTAGCTGAGACTACAGGCATGCACCACCACACCCAGCTAATTTTGTATTTTTTGTAGAGATAGGGTTTCACCTTTTTGGCCAGGCTGGTCTTAAACTCCTGACCTCAGGTGATCCGCCCGCCTCGGCCTCCCAAAATGCTGGGAGTACAGGCACCTGCCACCACACCCGGCTAATTTTTGTATTTTCAGTAGTGACAGGGTTTTGCCATGTGGGCAAGGCTGGTCTCGAATTCCTGACTTCAAGTGATCTGCCCGCCTCAGCCTCCCGAAGTGCTGGGATTACAGGCGTGAGCCACCGAAACTGGCCAATTGCACATTTTAGAAAAGCATTAAGATGCATGTTTAACATCAATTGAGTTACATTTATTTAAACATCCTAATCAAAACCCACCTTATGAAACATCTTTTCTGAGACACCCTGGTCTGTTCCAAATCCACTCTGGGCCACTGTTTTCAGACCCCAGTTTCTGCTGGTGCCCTGCAATGACACCCCCAGCTGGGCCTCCTGAGGGTGTGGGTTGCCCTCGAGGCTTCTGGGGCAGGACAGCACCTCCTCCACGTGCCAGGGGTGAAGGCCTGAATGGGGGCCCTTGTCACTGCTCCCTGCCACTGCCCAGGGTCCTCCACTAATTGCTGACCCCTCCCAAGGCGGCGAGGCCCTTCCCGACGCTTCAGGGTCTGATGCCCACTGTGGTGTTCGTGGGACCCCCGAGGTGCCCCGTGGTGACTGATGGCTCTGAGCCCCTTCTCTGGACTTCTGGGCTTCCAGTGCATCCTAAATCTTCCTTTGCCCCGACGGGGACACCACGGGGCCCTCAGGACAATCCAGGTTCTGTTCTTGGAGCCCCATGAGCGAGGCCAGGCCTGTGGAGCGGAGCAGCTGCCCAGGTACAGCCAAGTGGGGCCTCTGAGGCTGGGAAAAGCAGGAAACCAATTCCCCTGAGGTCGGTACCTTGACTTCAGCCTGGTGAGACCCGCCCTGGACCTCCAGCTCCACTGCTGCCACCAGCTTGTGCCGTTCTGAGTGACTGTGTTTACGGGGACTTGTTACAGCAGCTGCGGGACGCTGAAACCCCCTTCCGCCCGTGTTGCCCCCAGTCTGTGATGTCACTGCCTCAGCCAGGCCCCGCTTCTGCTGGGACCGGTGCAGAAGCCTCGCTGGCTGTTGGGCCTTTGATCTGAGGACCCAGGTGCTCGCTCTGTGGTGGTCATGATCTCAGTCCTCAAAGGGACAGACAGGTCCGCACCTTCTGCCCATGCCCTCAGCCTGGCTCCAGTGAAGCATGGATACCAGCTCAGGGTGGGGCGCCACCCCTTCCTGCCCCCAGCAGGCCCCCACCAAACGCCGAGTTCTACCACGTTGGGACCCAGGCAAGCAGGGCCCCGCAGCCTGCCATACAGAGAGCACAGATGGCCTGTCTCAGGGACCCAACCACCCAAGGCCCCCACGCCCCACTGAGCCAACCCTCTCAAGTTCTGGGCTCAGCAGCCCCAGGTCAAAGTGCAGGACTCAGGCAGGAGGGTGGCGGCTTCAGAACCCCGCACACCCTGTGAGGTCACCCCATGGTCACCTGGTGTGGGCAGGATCTATGTCCAGCAAAGGGAGTCCTGGCCCAAGTTCACCAGAGACAGTAGTGCCAGGGATGCCGCTCCCTGCACTTCTGTCCCTAGGGAAGGATGGATGGGCCTCCAAAGCCCCCAGAACGGGGCTCCCAGGAGTGGGCTGGGGTGGGTGGGTGTGAGTCACACACAGAGGAAGGCCTCCGTGAGCCGCAGATACATGCAGCAACGCTTCCTCAGAAGGTGCCTGCCCAGCCTGCCGGCGGCTGAATATAACAAAGGCGTAACCCACACACTGGAAATTTCCCAGGACCCCGTGGAAGCCGAGCAACTGCAGGGTGCCCATGGCAGGGGCCTCCAGCCTGTCCAGCCATCCACTGCCCTTCTGTCCATCCTGACCAGCTGTCCATCCATCCTCTGTCCGTCCTGCAGGGAGAGTGCCCATGGCAGGGGTCTCCAGTCTGTCCAGCCGTCCATCCATCCTCTGTCCGTCCTGCGGGGTGAGTGCCCATGGCAGGGGTCTCCAGTCTGTCCAGCCGTCCATCCGTCCTTCTGTCCATCCTGTGGGGTGAGTGCCCCATGGCAGGGGCCTCCAGCCTGTCCAGCTGTCCACCACCCTTCTGTCCATCCTGCAGGATGAGTACCCATGGCAGGGGCCTCCAGCCTGTCCAGCCATCCATCCATCCTCTGTCTGTCCTGTGGGGTGAGTGTCCATGGCAGGGGCCTCCAGCCTGTCCAGCCGTCCATCCATCCTCTGTCTGTCCCACGGGGTAAGTGCCCCATGGCAGGGGCCTCCAGCCTGTCCATCCGTCCACTGCCCTTCTGTCCGTCCTGCAGGGTGAGTGCCCCATGGCAGGGGCCTCCAGTCTGTCCAGCCAGCCATCCGCCCTTCTGTCCATCCTGCGGGGTGAGTGCCCCACGGCAGGGGGCCTCCAGCCTGCACAGCCATCCATCTGTCCCTCTGTCTGTCCTGCGGGGTGAGTGCCCCATGGCAGGGGTCTCCAGCCTGTCCAGCCATCCATCCGCCCCTTCTGTCCGTCCTGCGGGGTGAGTGCCCCATGGCAGAGGACCTCCAGCCTGTCCAGTCGTCCATCCGTCCCTCTGTCCGTCCCGCAGGGTGAGTGCCCCATGGCAGGGGCCTCCAGCCTGTCCAGCCGTCCATCCGTCCCTCTGTCTGTCCCGCTGGTAGTACGTGAACTCGCAGTTCCCGAGAACAAGAACCTACGACCTTCAGCGACGAGACGGCAGAGGTTCAGAGGGGACCCAGTCAGGCCCAGCGCCCCACCGGAAGAAGGGTCTGCTGGGGAGGGGCTGGGTATGGGGGACTGGCTGGCCTCCCGCCCTCTGGGGTCTGGCCTCGGGGTGGTGGGCAGCTTTCCCCTCTGCCCAGGCTCCACTGTGGCCCCATTTTGCAGACAGAACATGGAGGCTGTGGATGGTGGGCTGCCTGCGGGGTCTACCCCACGCTACGTCTGACCTCATGCCGCGTCCCCCGGCCCTGCCCCTTCCAGGCCGGCGCTCTTGGCCGAGGCCCAGCACTGGGGGTGCTTCCCGGTGGGCTTCTGCCCAGGCCCGACAGCTGTCCCTCGAGGCGGCCGTGGCGGCCACCAGCAGCAGGAGGAGCGAGGCCACCACCACCTGGCAGCTGCCTATGGAGCCCCATATCGCTCTTCACCCCACACTTTTCCAAGGAAAGTGCAGTTAGACACAAACCACAGACTTGCGAAGGGGTCGTCTGGCAGCACCGGAGTCTCCCATCAGCTGCCAAGGGCCAAGAGGGGCTTCGCAGGGCGGGTGGCCTCTGGGGAGGGGGGGCCGAGCGGTCACAGCGTGAGGGAGGTGGTGGAGAGGTGTCTCGGTCAGTCTGTTCACGTGGAGGAGGGCTGTCCCCAGAGTCTCCACCTTGAGTGGCAGGAGAGCCCAGGGTGAGTCTCCAAGGGGTGGCTGGCCTGGTGGGAGCTGGCACCCCAGACCGAGCTCAAACCCACAGATGTGGGATAAGACATGGAAGCACACCGGCCTGAGACGTGCACCCTCGCCCTCCCCACCACCGCGTCCAGGAGGCTTCCTCGAGGTGCACTGCCACCTGCCCCGGCATCTGCTTCCACAGGCAGGGCTGTTCCCTGCATGTCTGCTGGGTCACCGCCACAGACCCCACCCAGGATGCTGTCTGTGGCTTCTCCATCTCCTGCCCACTGGGAGCGGCCAGGCCATGTGAGCAATGGGCTTCCCAAGTCTGAGTGAGGGTCTCCGAGGGTCCCTGTAAACGTGGGCACTCGGGGACCTTCCTTCCACATCCAGTTCACAGATGGGTTCCACACAAGCCCGGGGCTGCGGAGGGGGCTCTGGGCACTGCTGATGCAAAGCGCCCCCATGTTCCCATCTCAGAGCCAGGAATTCTGCCATCTGGAGCCTGCAGGGCTCTGTCCCTCCTGCCTCTGCCTCCTGCTCCCTGGCAGGGGTGCCGGCCTTGCACAGCGGCGCCCAGAGACAGAGATCTGGATGACTCTGCTCCCAGTGGGTAGCGAGGAGGGCTGGTCACGGCCAGTGGGGCGCTGGCTGACTTCCCACACCTGCTTATGCCTCTGTGTGCGTCTGGATGGGCTCCACACACACCCTCCGCCCAGAGAAAGTTCCTGACCACCTGAACCCAGCACCGGGCAGAGAAGACCAGGAGGGACCGAGGCCTCCTACCCTCCCAACTCTCCCCAACTCAGAAAGCTGACTTCCGAACCTCGGGGGCTGGATGCCACAGAGACGTGGAGACGTCTGGACGGGGGTGTCCTATGGTGCAGCATCCCACGCACTCGGAAGGAAACAGAGACTCCTGCTGCGTGCTCTGGGCTCCTCCCTCTCGCTCTGCTGCAGGAGACGCGCTGCCGGCTCCCAGAACGCACCAGGGTTGCCCCACCTCGGCTTCTGTCGAGTCAGCCTGGGACCCCCCCTCAGAGCACGCCCCAAGGTCACAAGAGATGGACAGGCTGACGGGCCAACAGGAGAGGCCCCTGAGGTTTTCCTGGCCCACTCTGCTACTCTGCCCGGCCTCCGGGAGCTGCCCCCCAACAGAAGCAAACAGGGCCGCAGGCGGGTCCCACCCACTCTGCCAGCACCCTGCCCCACGTCCGCTGGCGCTCAGACCTTGCAGCAGCCAGAAGGAGCCACCATCGCCGGGACTCAAGTGTTTGGTGGAGCTGCCTTCTCCGCTCCCGCCCCACCAGGCCTCGCTGCTCTCCCCAGAGTGGGCGTGACCTGAAGCGCTGCCCTGGAGAAAGGTTGGCAGCCCCTCCCCCTCCCCTCAGGACCCGTGGCCTCCCTCCCCTGCCGTCCTCCTCAGGACCCGTGGCCACCACAGCCTCAGGAAGCCCCAACACGGCCCCAGCAGCACGGAATGCCAACCTTGCCTGCCAGGATCCTGTGTGCAGGAATGTCGGCCTCACCTGACTGCTGGGACCCTCCGTGTGTGGAGCCCTGGCCTGGACTCCCTCCTGGACACCGCCCAGAGCTGGTCATCTCCCCTGGGGCTGCTCAGGCGTCTCAGAGACAAACGCGGACTCTACCTGACCCCATTCTAGAACCCTCTTTCAGCCCGTGCTCTCCCATAGACCCCTCGGCCTCCAGCCCAGGCCCGGGCAGGGGCCGCATCACTGCAGGCACAGCCTGCACAGACACCGGTCAGGTCCCAGAGGCTGGCGTTACCCTTGGTTGCTGGACACTGGGGGTGTGCGGTTATGGCGGTGGCCATCAGCCTTCCCCACCAGCATCACCTACTCCACGTGGACCTGGCCTCTGGGGCCGCAGGTGGCTTTGCCTCACCTCTGTCTAAGGCAGGCGAGGAGGGGAGAGGGAGCCCCCAGCAGGCCCCAGGCTCCAGAAATCCTCTCCTTCCTGCCTTCCTCAGAGCAGCCCTTGGTTGTGGAGTGTCTTCCCCAAAAACTGCTTTTAAATGAAAGGAGGTGGGGAGGGGGTGAGCAGCTCTTTCCCAGGTGCCCGTGACCTCATTTCATTCCTGAGATCAGGACAAACGTCACTCCTGTGAAATAGTGGGCCTGTCTCGGTTTGAGCGTTCCTGAGATCAGGACGAGTGTCACTCCGGTGAAATGTTAGGCCTGTCTGGGTTTGAGCATTCCTGAGATCAGGACAAGCGTCACTCCGGTGAAATGTTAGGCCTGTCTGGGTTTGAGCACAGGAGCTGTGGGCAGGGGCTGAGGGCCACGCGGAGCCACACAGGGTCCCGGGTGAGGCCACTCGCGTGGGCTTTGTGACCACCAGGACACGTCCCCAACACTGTCCATCCGTGGACGGGCGAGGAGAGGTGCGTGGTGCAGGAACACCGTGGCTGGAAGCAGCCCAGGAAGCTGGAGCCCCAGACGTGGCTGAGCCCGACACTGCGGCCCACGTGGCGCCTGCCCCAGAGCCCAGGCCGCAGCCACCGAAGGAGCCAGCACAGCCCGGCCTCTGGCTTCCGTGGCGACTTACCTTGACTTCTTGGGGCATCACCAACTGAACCACCCAGCTCTCCTCTCCCAGCCACCGCCGCTCTGGCTCCAATATCTGGACCCCCACCGGGCCCTCAACTGTGAGACCCCACAGCCCAGACAGCTCCTGCTGGGACACAGGCCACTGTGGGCGTCCCCTAACCCCTGTGCAGACCCCTCGTGGAACTGTTCCATTCATAAAAGCCTGCCTGGAAACCCAGGGCAGTGTCTCCCTGGCCCAAGTGAGAATCGTCGCACACATGCAGTCCGCCTTGGGCCTCTGCAGGGCCGTCTCTGAGGCCGGGGTGTCCACTTCTCTGGCACACCTGGCAGGGCCCTCACCCCCATCCAGGTGTCCCCGAGTGGCCCTTGGCAGTCACAGGGGGAGAGTGAGGTGCAGTGGTGACGGGCCAGGGCCTCACGCCGCGTGCCCGGCCTCCTCACCCTCCTGGGCCTGATGCTCCTTGGCCACGGGAGGTGACGGTTCCTCCCTGAGAGACTTTGGGATAAGTGGGGCAGGCCTGGGTCTGGGAGCTGCCCTGAGGTAGAAGAAGAGCCCCATGGAGGCTGCTTCGAGGCTCTGAGGTGACGCGGTTCAGGGGCTGCTCCAGGGACTTCATTCCTGGCTCAGGCTGCAGGAATCCTGCACTAGTGGGGACTGTGTTGCTCCTGCACACTGAGAGGGACTGTGATGTGGTCATAGGCTGGGCACCTACCGCCTGGTTCTGGGGGCTACTGGGTTTAAGGTGGGGGCTGGGTTCTGCCCCTGCTCCCTCAGGACTGACGGGGCCAGTCCCGGGGCACGGGCCCAGCTGCCTTCTGCTGCCCAGGAGCTAGAGCTGGTGTGCCCGACCCCACGGCAGCCCTGCCCAGGGCACCCTCCTGGCTGGGGCAGCACGGATGCCCACCTGGGCCTATGTCCCGCCAGCCATGGTACTGGCCCCAGCCCTGGACAGGCTCTTCCACAGCCAGGAGAGGCCAGCACCCCCCAACACCACCACACCTGGGAGGCCACAAGCCCCCTGCACCCACCGGGCAGGGGGATCCCCCCCAGTGCCCGACCTTCTGCCTGGTCTCCAGGGCCCACCTCGCAGGGCCAGAGTCAGCAGGGGAGGGCAGGGCCGTCAGCCGAGCCCAGGAGGAAGACGCTGGGCTTACCTTGTCGTCCGGGCCGCTCTCGCTGTCGCACTGCAGGAACAGAGAGACAGAAGTGAGTCAGAGCCGCACCAACCGGTGTCACCCGCTCAGGGCATGGTAGCAGCCAGGCTGCAGGGGCACGGGGGGGGCAGACCTGGCTGCTGCCAGGAGAGGGAGGTGCCAGCAGGCCCTGGTGGTCGGGGCGGTTAGGAGGAACCTGGGCCAGGGCCCAGCGCTGCACCAGACAGACCTCGATCACAGCCCCCCCGGGTGCGATGGACAAGGGGGCACAGCCAGGCCGACTCACCAGCGGTGGGGACAAGACCGGCCCTGCAGCCTGAGAGGAGCCCTCACTGGTCAGACCCTCAAAGCAGGGCGGCCACGAAGACCCCCATCCCAGGCCAGCCAGAGCCTTCCTCACACCAGGAAGGAGGGCAGCCTCTGCCCCAGGACAGCCCTACTGTCCCCAGTGACCCCCCGAGGGGATCGATGGCACCACATGGGCTGGGAGATCCAGGCACCCCAGCTCCTCATGGTGGGCAGGGCCTGGGAGCCTTTGGGGTCAGGACAGCCGGGGGCTAAGGAGGGGCTGGCAGCGCACAGAGGGCCACGGCCGCTCAGGGTTAGACACTGGATGCCAGCACCGTCTGTCAGTTTGGCTGGTTAGGGTGGGGGTGTGATAATCCCGAAAAAAATCCGCTTTCCATTTTCAGTGAGCAGAGCTTTACCAAGAACACACTGACTGCAGTGTCCCCTAAAAGAATCAAAAGAGGAAAAATCCCTTCCTGACAACTGCAATTACGAGGTATTCACGTCGAATGAATGACATGGTGGAAGATAAACCCCCCAGTGCATGGAGGGTGGCGAGTGCCAGCCTGACGTGTGGGCGGCGCCCTCCTGTGTGGAGCCCCCTGGATTAATGCAGGTCATCGAACGCACGGCCGCCCTCCACGTCCAGCCACAGCTGCAGAGTTTTTGGTGACGGAGTTCACGGCACGGTGTGAAACGCGCTTTAGCAGACACTCTGCAGCCAGAAAGGGCCGCTCCCAGCGCGTGACAAGTCACACTCCAGGTGACTCCTACTGGTGGGACCCCGGGAAGCTGGGGTGGGCCTGTGGGGGGGTCTCCTGAGGCTGACAGGCTCCCCCAGGCTGTCTGTCCCAGCTGTGCGCTGCCCTGGTGGACTGGGCCAGGACCCCCACGGCGCGTGTTCTTTCCCACACAAAGAGGAAGGTGGGAGCCTCTTCTGGCTACACAGCCGTGGCCAAGCCCTCTCCTAGGGTCCCTCCTGGTGTGGCCTTTCCGCCATGGCCAAGCCTTCTCCTACGGTCTCCCTTGGTCTGGCCTTTAGGATGAGAGGCAGAGGAGAAGGGCCTCAGTCCCACCTGCACCTGCCCAGCCGGGCCCACCACACAAGTACTGAGGGCTCCAAGTCAGAACCAGGCCCGCCCCGCCCCGGAGGCTGCAGGTGCGGAGCTTGCCAAGGGCTGGGCACAGGACCCCAACATGTGGACCAGCTTTGTGGTGGCCCTGGGCCCCTGGAGGCTTCCATCTCCCCTGCTGTGATATGGGCGGGCCTTGGTATCTGCTGAGGAAAGTATGAAATGGAACTGCCCAGGCTCAGCCAGGAGCAAAGCAAGCAAAGACCAGGAGGTGGGGCAGGGGAGGGCCCAGACCAGGCACACAAGCTCCTGCAGGGAGCGCAGGGGAGGGGAGGAACATGCCGGAACATGCCAGAACATGTCAGAACATGCCAGGGCTGAGAGGGCCAGAAGAGGGCAAAGCAGGAGCCGAGACTGTGCCGAGGGTGCCCTCTGCACACGGGGAGCCTGGGGAGGGCAGAGAGGGAGTGAGCCCTGGAGGCGGGACAGGAGGCAGCCCCTCCAGCATCTGGAGGCCTATGGGGGCGTCAGGTGCCCTCTGACCTCACAGTGGGACTTCTGGGGACCCCAGGAAGGCCTCTCTCCCTGCTTAATTTGCGCTGCAGAGCCTTCGACTTGGAAACGGCAATCCCACCAGACTGTCGGGTTTCGGCCAATCAGGCCTTGAGAGCAGCTTGACACTTGGGGCCACACGGGTGCACCCATGGCCCAGGGGCCACCTGCCCAGTCTGGCCTCTGCTCTTGTCCCTGCACCCAGATGCCTGCTTAAGCCTGGGTTGGCCCTGAGACCCATGGGCTGGAGCCAGCAGCTCCCACAAGCCCAGACCTAGTTACAGATCTCCCCATGGGTTTCAGGTCTGTGACTGGACCCAGCCAGGCTGACCGCACAGGCGATGGTTTAATGTATCCAACAGCAAGGAGGCAGTGAGGGGTGCTTTCCAACAAGCTTTCCAGCAAGTGCATGAATCCTCTAATTAACCAAACAGCACGGCATTGTCAGACAGGCGCAGGCGGGGCATGAATTAATTCATGTTATTAAGTCCTACTGAATTAATGTTTAACTGCAGTGGAGTCAGCATGGAATGAGGCAATTAATCAGGGCAAGGAGGAAAAGGAGAGACACATCTGTCTCTTGGGAGCTGCCTGAGTGAGGCGACCTTTACGGGGCTGGGGCTGGGCTCAGTGGCCCAGGGAACATCACCCTGTGTGGGTTTGGGATAGGCAGGAATGCCTGGGGGCAGAGGACAGACCCCAGGCCCCGAAGGGACATGCTGGGCATGGTCAGGAGGCCAAGACTCAGGCTCCAAAGAAGATGCTGGCTCCATGCTTCACTGCCCCACACTGGGCAAGGCCTTGAGCTCTCTGTGTCTCAGTTTATGCTTCTGTAAATAGGAACAACTTACAGGGTTCTCCCTTACAGCTCATAGGGTTATTGTGTGACTTAAATAAGTGAATATGTGCAAAGCACTAAGGCAGTGCTTGATACATAGTACATTACACACATATGACAGTATCATCACCACCATCATCATCCTCATTGCCATCACCATTACCCTCATCACCACCATCACCACCATCCTCACCATCGCCACCATCACCACCGTCTTCACCATCACCAACACCACCATCTTCACCATCACCATCCTCACCATCACCATCACCATAATCACTATCACCATTGTCACAACTATCACCATCACCACTGTCATCACCATCTTCACACCATCACCATCACCATCCTCATTACCACCACCATTATCATCACTATCGTCATCGTGTCACCATCCTCAACAGCACTACCATCACAATTATCTTCACCACCATCACTATGATCACATCATTACCATCACATCATCCTCACCACCATCTTCACCAGTCACCATCACATCACCCTCATCCTCATTACCATCATTGTCACCGTCACCATCCTCACCATTGTCAACCATCATTGTCACCATCCTCACCATCGTCACTATCCTCACCATCGTCACCATCCTCACCACCATCACCATTGTCACCATCCTCACTATCATCACCATCCTCACCACCGTCACCATCACCATCATCGTCACCATCGTCACCATCATCACCATCATCGTCACCATCACCATCGTCACCATCACCATCATCACCATCATCACCATCATTGTCACCATCACCACCACCACCATCATCGTCACCATCATCACCACCACCATCATCGTCACCATCATCACCATCACCATCATCACCATCATCATCATCGTCACCATCATCACCATCATCGTCACCATCACCATCGTCACCATCATCACCATCATTGTCTGCCCACAAAACCAAGACCAAGAAGATGCCCTCTACCCTGGAGTGATGAAGTCTTAGTCTGGGAGTTTCAGAGTCTCTCAGCCCTGGCAGTGCTCATGCTTGTCTATGACCCTGACGGCCAAGGCTGGAAAGGTGAGCCCTCCTGCAGCCACAAGGAGACCCTGACATCAAGTCCTTCCTTCTCTACTCGTCCTGAGCTCCAACGGCAGCCAGCAGGCAGCAGCTCCCTGTACCATGGTCTGCCAGCCTACAAGGCCCCTCTGAGTCTGTCTGGCCTCACCATCCAATAATGGCCCTCGAGACCACTTGTCAGTGCTTGTTCTCTCCACCCATGCCCTCAGTCAGTCCGGTTTTAAACCGTGCCAAGGCTCGGGGCCCCTAGACCACTTAAACCCGGGTGCCTGGGATGGGAAGTAGCAGTCGAGTGATTCTGGTGAGTGGCCGTGGGGACAGCCTCTGTCCCCGAAACACTGGACTCCCTTCCTTCCTCCTGCCCAGGGCTCTGGCCCTCACACCTAAGGTGTGGGGCAGCCAGAGGGAGGCACCTGCCAGGGGTTCCAGACCACTCAGCAGCGAGGGTCAGAGGCCAGGCGTGAGCCAGAGCTCCACACCCTAAGCCCACAGCTCAGGTCCCCCAGGCCCTGGGCAGCTCTGTCTGCCCCACCTCTATCCCAAGCTGGGTGTGAGAGCTGCAGTGGGACTGAGAAGCTCAGGCACCTGTTTCTTCCTCCATGACAGTGGGTTCCTCGACCACCCCAGGGGCCACTGCGTATCACCATATTCACAGATGTGGCTGTGACGTGGGGATGCCTAGCACCTCCAGGCTCCATTAGTGGCCTTCCCAGACCCTCACATGTGGGCGGACAACGGCCTCAAAACATGGCTTTTAATTAGTGGCCTTCCCAGACCCTCACCCGTGGGTGGACAACGGCCTTGAGACGTGGCTTTTAAAGCCACAAACTGGTTTGGTTTGGCCTGATTCATTTTTTAAAAATTGGCTGCCAACATTTGAACACCTGGAGACTTCTCATGAGCACCAACAGCTGCTTCCTGCTGAAAACAGGAAACTGCATCCCCCGCCTGCCAGCTCCCTCTGGGCTCCTGACACCTCCCCCTGGGCCCCGGCCCTGGGGTGTCCGTGCACCCTGGAGCCCGGTCTGGGGGCCAGTCCTGGCCCCACTGCTTCACAAGCCCAGTCTGGGTGGGTCCTGGCCCCACTGCTTCGTGGAACCCGGTCTGGGCGGGTCCTGGCCCCACTGCTTTGCAAGCCCGGTCTGGGGGCCGGTCCTGGCCCCACTGCTTCGCAAGCCCAGTCTGGGTGGGTCCTGGCCCCACTGCTTCGCGGAACCTGGTCTGGGGGCCGGT